AACACTCCATCTCATTAAAAGGCAACATATTTTATGATAAAATGTTGGAACTAAGAGATAGTGTAACTTACCATGTTTCTTAAATATTTAGCGAGCAATAGCATAAATATTTCAGTGAATGTGGCTATGGAAAAATGCATGAAGAAAAATTAAAGCAGAAGTGGGCAGAGGTAGATATTTTTTCTTCTTTAGGACCAGAAGAAAAAAAAAGAGTAAAGCAAGGCATTCCCCAGAAACAAAAAAGCAAATAGAAGTTTTTCCTACAAGTTATTTCTCTGCCTATCTTGCTGAGAGCTTTACTGCCCAATATATGGTCTTGTGAGAAAATGTTTGGTAAGAAATGACTTCATACTAACATGATTATTAGTCCATTTTCACATTGCTATAAAGAAATGCCTGAGACTGAGTAATTTATAAAGGAAGGAGGTTTAATTGATTCACAGTTCAGTGTGACTGGGGAGGCCTCAGGAAACTTACAATCATGGCTGTAGGGGAAGCAGACACCTTCTTCACAGGGTGGCAGGAGAGAAGAGAGAGCACAGGAAAAACTGCCCCTTTTAAAACCGTCAAATCCCGTGAGAACCTCCCTCATTATCATGAGAACAGCATGGGGAAAACCACCCCCATGATCTAAACACTTTCTACTAGGTCCCTCCCCCAACGTCTGGGGATTACAATTCGAGGTGAAATTTTGATGGAGACACAAAGCCAAACAATATCACGTGGTGAAGCTAGATATGTCTATAGGTCCTCCATCTAGGTACGTAATGGATTTGTAATTTGGTGTGCTGATGGGGAGCGTATTTTGGAGTAGACACTCCAGCACTTGTAAGCTTAATAAAAAAGTAAGAGAAAGTAGAAATGGTCCTTGGTCCTAAAATATAATTGTCCTTCTTATTAATCAAATCTCATTCATGGTTTAGCTAAAAGAGGAGACACACAGAGGTAAATCTCTTAAAGCAAAAAAATGTTTGGAAGTGGCCATTGTAAGACATTTTACTCTAGTGCAGTGTATCCCAGCCTTTACTGTTTATGAGAACCACATGAAGTAGTGTAAAAAATATAAATACTTCTGTTTCATCAGCAGAAATTCAGAGTAGAGGGTCTGAAGGAGCCCCCAAATTTTAATTCTTAACAAACTTTCAGGATATTCTGAAGCATGTGGACTTGAGAAACGCATGGTAATCCCCAGATCCACAAAGTCCAGGATTTCTGTTTTGTTTAACAGTAGCTAAGCTATCAACAGCATGTATAACACAGCTCTGGAACTGAAAATTTAAGACAGGGGAAGAATGTGAAAGACATTGCAAGGAACTGATTGAAAATGAATGTCAGAATTGTGACAGCTGACAGTTTTTCAGATAGTGTGTATCTTTGGAAATGTGTCCCTTGATCATAACATTAGCACTAATGGTAGCTGGATGTTTCAGTGAGGTCCTTTGTCAATTACAAATGTTTGTACAGAAGTAGGTAGAATTCAGTATTTTGGGAAACATAAATATCCATCTAAAGAGGTAGTATTTGAATATGTTTTGTTAACAGAACATGTAAAGATGGAAATATTTTTGTATCTCTACTTACAAGGCATGTCTACTTCTGCTGTAGATTTTCTGAAGGAAACATGTTTAGTATTTTTTTACTATTTGTTTATAGTTCCTAAAACAAAGTGTTGCTTTTTAGAGAATTGAAAACAGTAACTAAGTATAAAGTTATCTCACAGTTTTCTGGATACTAGCCATCAAAGAGTTCCTGAGCTAGCGTAGCCCGTGGACTCTATGGACGAAATCAGAACAATATTAAGTAAAAAAAATCAGACAAACCAAAAAGTACATAGAAAGCTCTTTTTCTTTGTAGAAAAGAAAATAGGACAATATTTTTAAGACTGTTAATATATACACCATTGAAATTGCTTTCAAAGGAAATTAAAAGGAATAGAATGGCATGCTAGTGAAATAAAATATGTTAGAATAAAGTAAAGAATAGATGTGTTCGCATAAAACATAGAACAAGGCCTAATGCAACGTGCTGCAGGGAAAAATTAAGTGTGTTGAAAGAAAAAACAGAAGGAATATAAGAAATTTGGCAAGTAAAAGACAAAAGGGATTATAGAGAATGACCTTCTAAGTCCTCACAGAGAGAATAAGAACGTTGTCTGAAGATGGAAACCCATGGGGCAATTGGACTGAGTTGATTTCAAGTTGAGGCCTTAAAGAAAAAGAGAAACAGCGATTGTGAGATTATAGAGCTGGGAGATGTTTGAAAGATGAGTTATGTTCTGCTTGACACCTCTTCTTGAAGCTGATGTGATGCTGTCGTAGGCATCACATAGAAGGGCTTCTCTGGTCCCTATTTGTAAATCACAGGATCCATCTTTAATAATATTCCCCAGCACATTTAATTAATACCTAGTACCATGTCCCACTCTATGTCATGGTCTTAAACTTCATTACTCACTATCCTATTTTTACCTCCACCTCATACTCTGGACTTCACAGTTACAGTAAATCTTTGGTTGTGACCATGCTCTGCTCTCCACATTCGATCCAGTCCTTGGTATCCTCATATCATGACACACACCCAGCCGCTCATGGCTAGCCTCCAACCCACTTTGTTTTTGCCCTGTGAACAAGACTTACAAAAATTAGTTCAACGTATTAATTGTGAAGTTAAATAAATGAAGCACTATAGAAGTTAGGAAGCTTCCCAAAGCTCTTCACCTTTGGGCCATTTCTACTTTCTCTTACTTTTTTATTAGGCTTAGGAGTGCTGACGTGTCTCCTTTAAAACATGTTCCCCATCTGCACATTCAGCTGGTTAGCAGGCTATCCTGGTCTAATTACATCCATTCATTATTTTCCCACCAACAATTCTCTCTTTTTAATTCTAATATTGACTTAAAACACCTTGCAGATATATAAGTTCAAAATCTGGTCCTCCTGGCAAAATTTTTAAAAGAATTTTTTTTTATTATTTGGAATTCCTAAGTAATAACATGTTAGCCTTTTTTGCATTCAAGTGCTACTGGGTGAAATGTGTGTTCATGCCTCCTCTTTTCTTAGATACTGCTTGCTGTTATTCATACTGCTGAAAGATTTAAAGGCATTCTGTCTTGCTGAAGAGAGCAAATTTAGAAAGTGTGAAGTTTGTTGCATGTTTTAAAAGCCAGAATAATGCTGGAATGCATAAACATGCTTCGTATAAACAGTTCTCAAAGTACAGTATTCCTGTTTTGTTCAGTGGGAGTTAAGCTCATAAAAATGCAAGCTATATAGCCCTAGTATCTAAAATTTGACAAAAAGGTGGAGAACCTGAACATAATTGTATGGGGCTAAATATAAATGGCTGTCCATATTGTGAAGGCTGATAGAAACTGGACATTTCAATTTTACTCTACACTGTATGGGTTCAGAGTTACCATTGTCTTTTGAAGTAACATCATCTTCTTAAATGGCTGTGTCTATTTGGCGTTTGTGAAAGCATGAAGATTCTCAATTCAGGTCTGGCCATGCTACCTTGGTATACATGTTGCAGACGAGAAATTGTGGCATATAGCCTCTGCTAAAGTGGAGGAAAGTTGTGTTTCTAAAATAACAGAGGCAAAGATGAAGGCATGTGTGTAGCACTTTTGATATATATATTCAAGGTTTTAAAATTCTGGGCAGACTATCAAAATGTAACCCTATACATAATCCTAAAAAAAAGCATAAACATACTGTTTCTTTTTTATTACCATTTTCACTGATTTTTCCCTAACCTATAAACACTAAGAACGTTTTCTGGACTTCAATGTTTATAAAATTACATATCCTAGATGCTTTCAGTGTAATTTTACCTCTAATAGAATCCTAGAAGCCCAATTTAAGTGCTCAGATTTCTATTCTGGGTTCTAGTAATATAAAATATGAAGTTTCCAGTAAACTTAAATGATTGCTATTGTGTGTACCTGGAGTATAAAAGTCATTGCCTTTTATGCTCAGTAGCTTCCACTAGTTTTAGCCCATCTGCAGAATTTTGGAAAGAATGACTGGTATCACAGAAATGCCACTTGACTTATAAGGTTTAACAACTTGGGGAAAGCAATCTTAGGCAGAATGAGAATGAATGTGGTGGGTTGGGGAGGTGTGGGGCATGGGGGGCTGCCTGGAAACCAGAGAAATGAAAATAGCTGAGGGAGAAACTTTCTATTGTGCTTTAGCAACTACTGCCAGAGCCATTGTTCCACATTTGCAGTTTATAGAGGTGAGACGTCAGGAGCATATAAATGAGAAAGTGTTACTGCAAGTGACAGCTTAAGCCACACATATGTACATTTTCACCAAGTCCATGCATTCAAAATCAAACCTGGCATGTACAAATTCACCAAAAATTCAAGAATGACATTTTGTCCTTAAAAGTTATTTGGTCAGCTACTGATGACTTGGACCCAAAATACCACATGCACTGTGTATAGCACGGCCACTCAGCATACTTTGTTGTCAAACTGATGACTACATTTTTCAGGTAGAAATGGAGAAGCATTTCTAAGCTCCCAACTTAATTTTCTATAGCTGTTAATCATTTTCTAAACCAGATTATTTTATTACCCTAAATTCCAATTCTAAAAGTAATATATAAATACCAATCCTAAAAGTAATGCATTACAGCACAGTATTGGAGGTAGATTTGGGGATATATATTATACCAGCCCACTCGCCTGCATTGTTAGACTTCTCTGTGTCTCAGTGCCTTTGACACTGAACCCATCAATAGTGTCCAAATCGAGCTATCAGTGGTAAAGCTAGGAGAGGTAAAACAGGAACCAGAAGAGAGTAATTCAAGATTTAGAGAAGTATCAAAGATCAAGAATGAAATGACAAGATTGTGAGAAAGGCAGACAGTGGCAAACTGTCAGCATTTTGGTAACATTTTTATGTTCAGCAGTAGTAAGGTGATACAGAGTCCAGAGAGGGATACATGGAAGTCCATAAATCAACAGGCATAAATGATAAAAAATACTACAGATCATTTACTTGTTTATGCTGCAAAACTCACTAAATATTTTTAGACTTCACTTGGCCACTCAGTAACATTCATGCAGTTGACTGATCTTTTTCAGAACCACAAGCATTCTAGATGATACTCTGCATACCTTAGTTTCTTAAATATTCCTGAGAAGACTATGTCCACCTCGACCAGGTGCGGTGGCTCATGCCTGTAATCTCAGCACTTTGGGAGGCCAGTGCGGGTGAATCACGAGGTCAAGAGATGGAGACCATCCTGGCTAACATGGTGAATCCCTGTTTCTACTAAAAATTAAAAAAATTAACTTTACAGACTGTGCCTACAGACTGTAGTCCCAGTCACTCGGAAGGCTGACTCAGGAGAATTGCTTGAACCCGGCAGGCAGAGGTTGCAGTGAGCTGAGATCCTACCACTGCACTCCAGTCTGGGTAACAGACTGAGACTCCATCTCAAAAAAAAAAAAAAAAAAGAAAAAAAAAGACTATGTCCTATGTCCTATGTCAGCTTCTATTTTATCCTCACTTTTCAGGTTGAAGAGACTGAGGCTCAGAGAGGTAAAGCAACTCACCCTACATTACACATTCAGGTCTGTTGGACCCTAGAATCCTAGACATTAATGAGTGTACTTGGTTGTGTCTTCTTTATCATATTGGAAAAGAAATGAAGACATTAATAGGGATATATATGGATGATGACAGGGATTAGTAGAGTTGATGTCTCTATGCAACATAAGATCAGGTTTAAAGGAATAGTTGAGCAAGCAATCTAGAAGCACAGAAGCTTGAGGTCCAGGGGGAAGTATTAATAGACAGCAAAAGATAAGAGCAGGTGCAGAGATAAGAGGAGAACATTGAGGACTGAAAGAACAAGAACTGAAAGAAGATCAAGAACCAAAAGAGCAAGTTATTGAGTTCTTCATTCAGTTGAATGTTGACATCACCTAAATGGTGTTCTCAAAATACATGTAGAAGATGAGCCATTGGAGCATGAAGGAAATGTTAGAATGTTAATCAAATACTAGTTAGATAATATGAAAAATAGGTATATTAATTTATCAATGTTAAACATATAAATTGATCCTAGTGGTGGTGGCAGCTGGTACTGTTGCTGCTCTTCTGATTTTTCTCCTCCTACTTCTTCTGATTCCTCTTTCTATTCCTCTCCTCCTTCCTCTTCTTCGCCTCCTCTTCTTCCTTCTTCTCTTTCTCCTTATTCTTCCTCTTTCCTTGGACATACATGAAGCAATCATATATAATGTACATTTCCCAATATATCCTGAAAGATAAGCAGAAATTTACAACCTAGAAGGGTTGGTAGTGTATAGTGGTCTGCCTGAGTCTGATGAAGTGAACTTATGAATTATAATATCTGGTTTTAACTACAGTAACCCTTTTCCAAAGGGACAAATGGTTCTAAAAGATTGCTGAAAAAAACTATGGATTCACAAAAATTAACAATGCAGGGACAAGAGAAGAAGACAATGGCAGAGCTTCTGTAATTGCTGCTTCTAGCACAAGTGCTTGGTTGGCCACATTAGAAAGTAAAATACAGATGATTAATCCTACCGATATATTCATACAAAGTTGTTCTTACTGAGAACATTCGTGGTTTTGTACATTAAAAAATAATATAAATTTATGTCATTTTTTTGCTTCTTGAGATTTAGGATTCACCTGTCGCCATGGAGGGAGGCCTAATAGATATGGGATGGGATGGAACAGTCTGCACTGGGATGGTCCCATGAGCAGTGGCAGCCATGGAGGCCGATTTCAGGAATCGGCATCCTTGGTCCAGCAAGTAGAGTAGGTGGTCGAAGTAGCCAGTTAGGAGCAAGCACGCACATGTAACACTTGTCCTCTGGGCAGGCTGAGGTGGTAGGCAGTGGTCCTGAGCATCGTGGATGTGCTAGCCTATGCTTCACACTTCACAGAGGGTCAGCAGTGGATTGTGTGAGGAGAAGTTCGGATTTCTGTTTTCCTTTAGACAGAGAAAATTTGTTTCCCCCTATGAATGGCTTTTTGATGGTAGAAAAGTTTACTGGTTTAAATTATTGTCTTCTCCCTCCTTGCTAAAGATATATTCAAGTCCTAACCACAAGTACATGTGGATGCGACAGATATTTATTTGGAAATAAGCTCTTTGAAAATGTGTATCAAGTTAAAATGAGGTCATCGTGGATTAGGGTAATCCCTAATCAAATGACTAATTTTCTTACAAGCAAAGGAAAATTTGTACACAGAGGCAGACATGTAGGGGAAAATACCCTGTGAAAATGGAGGTAGTGATGCATCTGCAAGCCAAGAAATGTCAAAGGTTGCTTGCAGCCATCGGAAGCTAGCAGAGAAGCATGGAACAGATTCCCTTTCAGAACCTCCAGAAGTAACCAACACTGCTGACATCTGCATTTAGGATTCTAGCAGCCTCCACACTGTGAGAGAATAAGTTTCTGTTTATTTTATTTTATTAGGTTCCAGGATGCACATGCAGGATGTGCAGTTGTTACATAGGTAAGCCTGTGCCATGGTGATTTGTTGCACCTATTAACCCATCACCTATGTATTAAGCCCTGCATACATTAACTGTTTATCCTGATGTTCTCCTTCCCCACCCTCTCCACCGGCCCCAGTATGTGCTGTTCCCCTTCCTGTGTCCATAGTTTCCGTTTTTTTAAGCCATTCAGTTTGTGGTATTTTGTTTTGGCAGTCCTAGGTAACTAATATAAAAGGGTAGAGATTAGCTCTGTATTGTAGGAGGAAGTTAATTGATTTGCCCATTACACTTCACTATTAAAGGGCAGATTCAAGGCCAGCTATATGAGCTTGGATGTGTTACTATCATACTTGGACTTTTATTTCATCTAGAAAAGGAATGGGCTAGAACCTTGGGGCAATTTCAAGTTTCCATAAACTTCTTCATGTCAAAAATTGTGTACGTCAATATGCTCCTCTTTCTTGTCTTTCCTTCTAATAACAGAACAATGAGTTATTATATGCTACTCTGTTTTGAGCAGGAGTTAAAACATAATTATATTAATACATTTTAGACCAGGGTGCTCAAACATTAGCATGCATCCAAATTACCTACAGGCCTCCATAAACACACATTGCTGGATCCCACCCTTCAGAGTTGCTATTAAATAGTTCTGGGAAATTGCAATTATAACAAGTTTCCAAGTGATGTTGATGCTGCTGGTCTGAATACCACATTTTGAGAAACACTGCTCTAGTACCAGGTTTTCTCAGCATCTGTCTGATTTTAACCAGGGTTATTATGATGTTCTTGTATGATAGTGAAGTGAACTAGTAGCAAGGCAGGGCATGTAACGTTAGAGCTGCATATATGTTGGTAGAGTTGGTGGGAGAAGATGATGGAATTATCCTCTGATTCCTTCTATTTGGTAGCAGAATAGGGAGTCATCAGATGAGAATGAGGAGGGCAGGAAGAAGTACAGGATGTTTGAAAGTAGGGGACTAGCTGTGAAACTGTCAACATGAAGAAGGGGAGAACTGACTGATGAGAAAATGTGGTAAGTTTTCTAGGCACTTCCAAAGGCTCACAGCTGGTGGTTTGAAGTGAGGCTGGTTAGCAGTGTTGCTGTTTTTTTTTTTGAGATAGAGGAGTCTCGCTCTGTTGCCAGGTGCCAGGCTGGAGTGCAGTGGTGTGATCTAGGCTCACTGCAACCTCCCCCTCCTGGGTTCAAGCAATTCTCCTGCCTCAGCCTCCCAAGTAGATGGGATGACAGTCGCATGCCACCATGTCCAGCTAATTTTTGTATTTTTAGTAGAGACAGGGTTTCACCATGTTGGCCAGGATCTTGATCTCTTGACTTTGTGATCCACCCGCCTTGGCCTCCCAAAGTGCTGAGATTACAGGCGTGAGCCACCGCGCTCAGCCCAGTGTGGCTGGTTTTTAATCAATCATCATGATGTGCAGTAATAAAGTGTACAGAGATTTAATCTATCTAGAGTTGGGCTTTTGTCAGGCAAATGCAATGATGGTGCCATAAGAGTTGAGCATATATGTAAAGAAATGACAATGGTGATAGACCATGGGCTAGGATGGGAAGGGAGGGAAGTGAGACCTGAGTGGACAGAGAAAAGGTGATCAAGTTGATTGACTAGATTCAAAGTTGGGATGAACAGTTGTTGAAATGGGGGTATTGGAAATATAGGAGTCAATGGTTAGATGCTTAGATTGTGATTTTTATAGATAATAGAGGCAGGTCAGTAAATAAATCACTTAGTTGCCTATAATAGCAAACCTAACTATGGCTGTCTTTATGGGTAAGTCTTTAATTTTGACACTTGTTAAGAAGTCTCCAGGTAGACAATCCAAGGCAATTACTTATTGTTGCTATCAATGACTCAGCTTTCCCTCCCTGTCTCTCTCTCTTTTACATAGAGATGGATGCAATTTGTTTACATATTTATTTTATTTTATTTTAGGATTTTGTGATCTATGTTCATAAGAGTGATCAAACTGCATATTTTTTCTTGGCCTGTCATATCTTTCTAAGGCTCTGATTTACTCATATGCTAACCTCATTAAAGGAGCTGTGCCATTTTTTATTTTTGTTTTTGTTTTCCCCTATTCTCTGGAAGGGATTGTGTAAGAATAATGTAATTTATTCTGAAGAATAATGCAATGTTTTCCTAAGTGGCTGGAAATATACCCTGGTAAAGCCATTTGGGTCTGGAGTTCTCTTTGTGTAATGTTTCTTAAAGATTCAAAGTTATCAATGCAGTTGACTCTTGAACAATGTGGGGGTTAGGGACACAAACCTGCATGTGGTCAAAAAACTATATATGACTTCTGAGTCCCCCAAAACTTAACTATTAATCACCTACTGGAAGCCTAACTAATAACATAAATAGTTGATTAACACATATTTTATATGTCATATGTATTATATACTGTATTCTTATAATACGGTAGCTAGAGAAAATAAAATGTTATTAAGAAAATAATAAGGACAAGAAAATATATCTACTATTAAGTGGAAATAGATCA